TGTGCTACATGGTACATTGTTTCATGATTAAGAAATATAAAACGGAGCGTTTGTCTGTGCCCTCTATTATAAACACGGTGGGATTTCGAAAAACACGAGAGAATTAAGCTTAGGAACACGAGCGTAGCGAGTGTTTCTCTTTCTTCTCGAGTGTTTTTCAACTCCCAATGTGTTTATATCAGAGGACAGAGACACAAGCGGCCGTTTTATATTTCTTTTATAAAATTTTTCGAGCGAAAAGACAATTTTGACGGTAAGCCGTGTCTCTGTTCTTTGATATAAACACGGTCGTCACCCAATCAGAGCGCGCGTTATATATCAAAAGTTTTATAATCGCATGATATTGTATGATATACAGCCTTTTGCAAAAAATATGAGAATTGTTGAAATATCTAAATATCATAATATCAAGTGCATGATAGGTAATCCCGGGCGATGCCCTTAGTCCCTTGTCTTTTTAGTTTAGTTTTTTTTGGCGACAGACTTATCCGTAGTTCTGAACATTTTCTCGATGTCGACAATGAATTATTCTAGCAAACCCGCGTGTTCCGGACAATATATGGATATGGATATTATGATATTTAGATATTTAGACAATTCTCATAATTTTTGCAAAAGGCTGTATATCAAAGTGATTGTATGTTATGTTATGGTGTGGTGTTGCATGGTATCGTGATATGCTACATCAATACATTTTTTATTATCACATGGTTTTGTGTGACATAGAAAAGTGGTTGTATGGTATGTTATGGCCTATTGTATGGCATCGTAATGCGGTACATGGTATTGTTTTTTTTATATCATAGCTAAATTATAACACGCGAGCTGATTGGCGGATTTCATGAGAAAACCTATGGTTTATTACGCCCATAAACCAGCCTGCTGTCTTAATTGAAAGACTTTTGAGTCAAAATGGCGGAAGCCGGCTAAAATTTTCCAAATTTTGACATTTCTTTTGAAATCTATAACGAGAGTGATGACGAGGTAGAAGTTTTTTTTTTTTAGAAATACGATGAAAGTTTGTATAGTTTGGCTCCTGTTGAAGAAATGTCAAACTCTATGAATACAAAGAACACGTTCGACACTCGAAAAGGTAAATCTGATTTGCTGATCTTTTCTTGTGTTCTCCCAACCATCCCGCGCGGTTTATTTCCCCAGTAAACCCCTTCAAGCTATCGTTTATTGCTCAAATCATCAAATGGTATTCTATGACATAGTAAAGTGCAAGTTGTTGTATGGTATATTATGGTCTGTTGTGTCATCGTACTGCGATATATGGTACATTGCTTAATCCTCTGAAAAAATGATAAGTAATAGCAAAATGGTAGGTATGGTATGTTAGTATATTGTATGATACTTCTCGGTAAGTTGTTCTATGATAATTTACCCAGTTTCAGGCCACTGCCGCCGTAAATCGAGTTCATCAAAATAAACGACCACACGTCCACGTGTCAAATTTGGCATGAATGTCCAGCGGTAATCRGCTTGCATCATGGATGATGGATATCCAGGGCTTGTAATAACACCAGTCATCGCAGTGATATTTTCATAAAAGACTAAAATATATAAAGGATATTACATGGGCGCGCGGAGATACTTTTTTTCGTCGAGTGTTGAAAAGAATATAACACGAAAAAAAATAAAATAAATAGAATTCGTATCTCCAAGCGACCATATAATATTCAGTTTTTATGAAAGGAAGTTATGTCGTAAACACATGTTTTCAGTGAAACCTGATTATGATGGATTACCTGGTGGATGTCCACACACCACTTCAGCTTGATAAAAGGAGTACTGCTGACACATCGATTGTGTATCAGAGCGTGAACATTCTTCGAGACTGCTTTCCGTTCCAGTACACCGATAATAATCCTCTAGAACGTGCGCTGGGAATGACGTCCGCGTGTATGCTCCATAATACAGAACATGAGGAGGACCGGGGAGACCCAATGATCGACACACAACTCTGTTAATGTCAGTATTCCGCCAATAATAATAAGCGCAAATCGTATTCCAAGAGTCATTTTTGAACACTTCCACTCTTCCCTCGTTGGATAGCTGTCCACCAATTAGCCTCAGTGTATCTTAAAGAAGCGAGAAGCATTTATAAAATGCATTTGTCTTATTAAGCAACAGCCACTTATATGGCAACTCAGATAAAAGATGATTCTCTAGTGCTTGAATTGTCCATAGTTAATATTAACTATGAATTGTCAAGTCTTATTATCTGAAGTAATATAGACTAAGCCGCCAGCCAMTGCCAATAAATCTAAAAACAATTATCTAGCAAACAGAAACGTTCGAGATAATAAATGTTTACAAAACAAAGAAAAGCTTATCATGTTACCATTTCTCATTAGACCAGACCACGCAGTGCTTATGATCAAGGGCCTCGTCGTGTTCGTAGAATCGAAAGCAATAACTTTGAACCAGTATAAAGTAGCTGGTTTAAGGTATTCCACTGCTATCGATGTGTCATTCTTAAGTTCAATGATGTACAGGAATGGTTCTCTTTTCACAGTAAAGTTATACAACGGTATAACAGTATAGTTCTTTGAAGGCAATGACAAAGGATTCCAATCAATGATAACTTCACCAGGTTTAGATTGTCTTAAAGTARGGTTCCAGCTCTCTGCATTCAAACCTTTGGAAATAAATAGATATACATCACTTGTATGTAAATACTTCAGTAGTTTTTTAAATTAATGAACTTGGTGGTAAGCTTACACACTATCAACAGTTTTTGAACGAAAAAAATGCTGAATTTTATTGTGAACTTGTTTGTTATTTCATTAATTGAAATAAATAAATATATCTTATCTTATAAACCAAAATCTTTATAATTTTGTAATTTAATTATTGTGTATTAGAAAGAAGAAGAAGAAGAAAAATAACATCGTAAAGGACAATAATAATGATAAGAACTGACCTTTTGCCAAATGTTGGGAAATAACATAGAAAGAGACTTTGACACTTTGGCTGCAGTACCACGGCCAGTTCCAGTTACTGTACCAGCGGCAGTACCCGTACCAGTAGGATAAGTAATATATCTCCGAGTAATATCTGACTACTGCTGAACGATTTTTGATCACAACTTCAAATGATCGCCATCCACCACATTCCCTCACTTTATACTCGTGATTTGCATCAGCGATTTCAACGTAAAGCTGTCGATAATTACTGCAGCAAAGAAAATTGCATAATATGTGATAGAAGCCAAAATGACAATAAATAGCTGAAAAATCAGAACTGGTTGGACGCTGAATTTTTATAGTGGAGCATTCTCGATGAAAGTATTCGCTTTTTACCTAATTCTTGCACATCAAATGTTGGACAAATTTACATCATTTTGGACACTTACATAATATTAAAATCAATTTTACAAAACCCTTTAAAGTGCGCCATTTTTTTTGGGTGCAAAGTACTTACTTGCAATAATATCCCAGATCAAATGGTTCGAATTTGATGACTATGAAGTCGATATCACTTTTGCCTTTACCAATTGTCCATGAACAGTTTGACGGCCTGCTCAAGTAGGTGGAATCAATTGAGATCTCCCCACTGTCTCCATCGCGATAGATATCACACGCTGCAGACCAATTAATTTAAGTCACTTTAATTCAACAAATAATTTAAAAATAAATAATACTCACTGTACATGTGTTTGCACTACCTAATAACTAGTGCGCCTGCAGCTCGAAAAATCTCCCAAAAACTCATCGAAGTTTGAATTAGCCAGTCAAAATGATTCAACATTTTTTTCAATGCATTACTGATCAAAATCAATTTATAAACTGGTAATGGAACTAGCAATTCTCCGTACGAACGACATCAACTGATGAAAGATGAGGTAAGTTGAAGATCGTCTAACCTTATCCCCAAAAACAAGAAAAATGGAGGAAAATTTGATCAAAAAATTAAAAATCAAAATTATCCATAAACATCCTCGTACTTTGCTGAATGGACAATATTTGAATACAAATTCTTATATCTTTATTAGCGAGCTGTATGAAGAATCAAAGTACACAAGTTTCAACAACTATTCGAAGCCGCAATTCGTAATGTAATGTGGAAAAAAGAAACCAAATTATGAAACAAGATGTCATTNAAAAAAAACAAGAAAAAACAAGAAGAAGAACTCAGAACATGGAGAAGAAAGACAAGTAGAAATAGCACCATTTCTCTAGGGACACTTCAAGAACAACAATTCCCATCGTGATTTACGCCACGAACTGGCGTGGCTGCACATTAACCGGGATATTTAACATATATGTGATAATGAGTAACTGTTCGTCAAAATTAATAACAAATGCTATTTTTGTGAATTTGTCAAATGATTTTTATCGACTTTTCTATGAATGTTGTTGGTGACTTTGACATGTTATTAAGCAAACAAAACAATTTTGTTGACATGTGCCAGTAGAACCAACATTGTCGTCATGTTCGTCAGAGAAGATCGTGTTCGGATACTGGGATACACCTATTTCAAAAAACGTTGTCGTCGCCAGGAATCAGTCCACAGTCTTGAGCCTGCAAAGAATCTCGGGATTGCCATATATTATGTGTTCAATTTCAGTTATTCGAAATACTCCGATTTAGAGTTCTGGTTTGCTCTGTGTTAGCTCCAAAACCAATCAACATATTCTTTTGTTTCATTGATAGCCCGAGAAAACGCATGGAATTTGAAAGAGAGACAATAGAATTGATTTGAAATCTCACACTTTTATTCTCACAATTAGGAATATTTTGCGAACAAATTAGGCTAACACAGAGCATTGAAGAATACGAAACTGGATTATTCTCGGTCTCATAGCGAATATAGCTTTGAAACTCATTGACGTTTTAAAAACGTGGAATATTCATTTCAATGAGGAAAATGTCTATGGCGAGACTTCGATGGGCCGCAATAGTATATTAGTAGTGTTTGCCGCCATTTAATTCAAACCACAAAATATTTTGAATATATTAATTACGCATGGAAACYCCGAGATTCTYDGCAGGCTCAAGACTGTGGACTGTGTCGTGGTGACGACAACGTTTTTTGAAATAGGTGTATATGTACTTTGCTCTTATTAGCTGTTTACTTTGTTTGCATTCTAGCGAGTGCGCGAGTTGGCTAAAAAACTCGCACAAATTCAACGCGAAAACAAAAACAAAGTAAAATCTTGCATCGAAATAAAACTGACACATAGAGCGCGTCTTCTAATTTAAAACTTCCTTTATCTTGGACTCAAATGTTTGAAAATGGAGCACTAAGTATTGTTTCATAAAATACGGTATACCATACCGAGAAAAGCCTAAAATATCCCAAGTTCCATGACAAATTAATCTTGACATATTCGCACACCTGGCACTAATTATAGAACTCTTGTCATCTGTGTTGGACATAAATGGATTATAGAAACTTACATGATTCACGAGTTGTTACATTCGACTTTGAACTCTGGTATGCCGTACAAGTACCGTTATTTCCCTTTCTTAGAAGGGCCAAGACGTGCACGTCATAGTTAGTGTACGCCATCAGCCCATTAAAAGTTGCAGATGTCAAATAGCTGTGTCCAAATTTGAAATGAGTTTTGTTGGCCCAATATTGTGTAGAACTGCAGAATACCAAAATTCCAAAGATATTGTAGTCTGGAAAAGTAACCCGATTCCAACTAACAGTTAAGCTATCATAGCTGTTGCTCCATAAAGATAATGTCCAATTTTTTAGTGTAGACACTGTAACAAATACAGGTAAATATCAGTTTCCCTTCTATCTCTTTCCATCTCCCTCTCTGTACCTCTATTTCTCTCCCATCCCACTCCATATCTATTCTTGACTTTGATGAAAATGAGCGCCTATGCCTTAAGCAACTRTGATARCATGTTGTGTAGATGCAGAAAGTGAYTACCACTCTCGTGACACTTGACAATACCTACACACTTTAGTGCCGAATACATCTATATCTGTGATACCTGTACCTTTCGATGTAGAACATCACTGGAGTTCCAATGTCTCTTTTTCTTTTCTTTGTTATAAAGCAAAAACTGCTTTTTAGCGCGCGTTCGTGTTTATTAATTTTTGAAAGCATTTCGTTGTGAAAATAACTAATACACTTCTTTTTACCTGGTTCACTGTAGGAAAAAAACCGAACTCGCATTCCATTGCCATGTTGTCTGTTGATAATTAGACGAGTTGAAGAAGACGAAAAGAACTGAAGTTGGCTTGACAAACTCAGTACTGCTGCAGCTCCATGATACAAGCTGTTTCGGAACACTTTGCCTGATTCGTTTATGTAAACACTGCTGAAACTGAAGGAGCGATGGAAGATATAATATCAGTATAGAGCGGAATAAATTACGTACAGTAAAGACATGAAGAGAATACTAACTAATAATTTAAATGAATTTGCTTAATTAAGTAAAATTTAGAATGATGTTATTCTTGCAGTTATATCAATCTACATCACTCCGTAAATAATCAGGGCGAAAATGCTTTGAAGGCATTCTATCTATTATTTAGAACGGAGTGCATCGGTCATCATAAAGTAAACCATTAATATATATATATTGTCTAGCTTAGTACAACACTTGAATGGGATGTTCGAAAATCACACCCACGCAGCCACATACAAACAAACAAACAACAACTAAACGAATTAAAGATCTTGCACATAAAAATGAAAACAATATAATAAATAATAAATGTAATTTTATTTTATTTCAGTTCTTTATATCTGATATAGAACTGATTAATCACACATCAGTGCTTTATCGGGGTATAAAGGGCCATCATTGTTGAGCTTATAGCTCAAAAAATATTCATGAATTCGAAAAGGTATCTTATGGTGTTGTATATCATCGTGCTGTGCTACATGGACGGTACATTGTTTTATCATCAAATGGTATTGTATGGCATAGCAAAGTGGTTGTATGTTATGTTTGGTCTGTTGTATGGCATCGTAATAAGCCACATAATACATTGTTTTATCATCAAATGGTATTGTATGGCATAGCAAAGTGGTTGTATGTTATGTTATGGTCTACTGTGGCATCGTACAGCGATACATGGTACATTGCTTAATCATTACAAAAAATGATTAGGCATAGCAAGATGGTAGGTTTGGTATGTTAGTATATTGTATGATACTTCTCGGTAAGTTGTTCTATGGTAATTTTACCCAGTTTCAGGCCACTGCCGCCGTAAATCGAGTTCATCAAAATAAACCACAACACGTCCACGTGTCATATTTGGCATGAATGTCCAGCGGTAATCGGCTTGCATCATGGATGATGGATATCCAGGGCTTGTAATAACACCAGTCATCTCAGTGATATTTTGATGAAAAACTAAAAGATTAAGAAGTCATTAAGCGAGCGCGAGGTCTGTACGGGAAAATATCAGACCGAGGTCTTGACAATACGGACCAAGTGCAGCGAGGTCCATACAAAAAAGACCGAGGTCTGATATTTTTTATATACGTCTCTCAATATTATGCAGGTTAAATTTTGGACTCATTTTTGATCCGCGTTCATATCTTAATTTCTGCCCGAGCTTTTCCAATTAAATTCATAGTCTTTATGCAGTTTGATGAGATATACAAATTCTAAAAATTTAAAAATGATCCGATTGTTAGTTTTAAAGTAAATCGTCGAAACGCGAAATTATAACTTTTTGAAAATGCGCTGTATCTTAATTAAAACCAGCCAATAAATTACTAAATACTAACAAATTACAAAACCTGCACTAATTACTGCATTTTCTATTTAGATTTTAGCACGTTTAACTACATACATTAATTTTACGAAGCAAGCGAGTTAAAAAAGTAAAACATTCGCGTTTCATTTCTTACGATCCACCTTAAGTTCTCAACCCAGTATTCAGAAATCGATGAAGTGCAAATGGTATGTAAGTAAACGTTAAAAGTTACATAAAAATGGCAACAAAGTGTATTCATAGACATAAGTCAATTCAAACTATAAATCATAAAACATGTTTTCAGTGAAACCTATCATGATTACCTCGTGGATGTCCACACACAACTTCAGCTTGGAAAAAAGAGTACTGCTGACACATTGATTGTGTATCAGTACGTGAACATTCTTCGAGACTCCTTTCTATTCCACTACACCGATAATAATCCTTTAGAAAGTGCGTCGGGAATGACGTCCGCGTGAATGCTCCATAATATAGAATATGAGGAGGACTGGGGAGACCCAGTGATCGACACACAACTCTGTTAATGTCAGTATTCCGCCAATAATAATAAGCGCAAATCGTATTCCAAGAGTCATTTTTGAACACTTCCACTCTTCCCTCGTTGGATAGCTGTCCACCAATTAGCCTTAGTGTCTCTTAAAGAAGCGAGGAGCATTTTTACAATTCATTTGTCTAATTAAGCAACAGTCACTTATATGGCAACTCAGATAAAAGATGATTCTCTAGTGCTTGAATTGTCAAGTCTTATTAT